CTCAGGGTGACTGCCACGCAGCAGATAGGGGCAAGGTGTGAGATGGCTTCCACAGAGATGTTTTTGGGGAAAATGAAACTGGCCTTTGGAAAGGCACTGAGAGGCTGATGGAGAGCTTAGGAAGAAGAATCAGGTACATGGAAAACAATGCAAAAAAAAGAGATTATTTTTAAATTCAGAAAAAAACACACTGTCTGTGAAAGGAAATATGAACTTAGTAAGTTACTTGGATCAACATTGAACAAAATGTATGTAGAGAGAATAGAAACATTTAATATTGATATAAGAAGTGTGATGTAACTATTTTGGAAAAGTTCATCGTATTCTTATATCCATATTAAATGTTTATAGTCTCTCTATGTACATTTTGTTCAATGTTGACTATTTTGGAAAGTTAGGAGCTCTGGTAGCGTAGCGCCTAAGGCACTTGACTGCTAACCAGAAGGCTGGTGGTTCAAACCCACCAGCCACTCCTTGGAAGGAAGGTTGGGCAATCTATTTCCGTTGTGATACTGCTTTGGAAACCAAGGAGGGGTCGCTATGAGTTGGGTCCAACTCAGCAGCACATAACAACAACAACAGCATTTTGAAAATTAGAGGTAAGGGAAAGTTCGTGGTTAGGAGATGGTGGTTTGTGAAAACCAGATTTTCATCTTCCACAATATTGGTAGAGACCAGTAGCTAATTTCTGAATTTGGTAAATCAAGAAATTATATTATTAGCATATTATTTAGTAATATCATGGTAAATGCTGGAAGAAATAGCTAAAACATTGAAAATGATTGCCCCTCAGGAGCCAGACTTGGGTGTGGTGGTTAGGAATCCTATTTTTCAAAATGAGCTTTTCTGCACTATTTGAGTTATTAATCTGTGTGCCTGTATTATTGTCCTGTTGAATATAGGCTCAACTTGGGTTCGTGTTGATTAGGCTGCCCTTTTATTGCCCATGTTAATATATTCTGAAATAAAGTACAGGGCCATCTTGTATAATAATTTAACAGCTCTGTCTCACCGGGGATATTTTGCAGGTGGATCTAGGGGGTTTAATTTCTGAAATAGATACAAGACTCTACGTGAAGGCACTTTGATTTTTATCACGCCAGTGGAATAGTGCTAAAGGACAGCATTATAATGGGGATTGAGGACAGAGTCTTCATAATTATTCACGCATATGTACACACTCGGACACCCAGGTCCACATGCAAGTTGCAAAGCTTCCTGTCTTTAGAACATAATTACCAGTGTATTTGTTTTCTAGACTTCTAGTCATTGTAATATTAGACTTACTGGTATAGCTTTTTATCACTGAAGTGGGAAATTTTTAGATAACAAAATGAAGAAGAATTACAGTTTTCTTGCCAAGGTTCCATTCACAGCAGTGTTACTGCACTAATTGTAGCAACTGTATAAAGCTTTAGCATTAACAATATATTCCGATTAATCAAATAGGGTATTGGCATTATCTAATTTTGTTCTTCAAAAAGCCAGTCATTGAAAGAGAAGATACTGAAAGTAGAATTAATGATTTATCCTAATGGTTCATTGACTTAAGAGATGATGAGGTAGAATGTCCATCTACCTAAGATATAAAAGTGTAGACATAAAAGAAGTGTATGAAAAGGCTGAAGCCGCACCACGATTTCGGTACCAGAGGGAAGACTCGGGTCTGAAACCTGCACCTGAAGCAGTGGTGGTGGCTGTGTAGCGTTTCCTCATTCCTAATTGTTCCATGTTTTTCCCCCTCCTCCTTTCTTATCTCTCTCCTCCTCCCCCTGTAGCATCATGGTTACCACAAAGCACCACGTAGCGACCCCCATAGGAGCTCTGGTAGCATAGTGTCTAAGGCACTTGACTGCTAACCAGAAGGCCGACGGTTGAAACCCAGGGAGGTGTCGCTGTGAGTCGGGTCCGACTCGATGGCAAATGACAACAACAGCAAGCGACCCCTATTGGGTTTCTGAGGCAGTAAATCTTTACAGAAGTAGACTGCCCAGTCTTGCTTCCACAGAGTGGCTGGTGGGTTTGTACCACCAGCCTTCTGGTTAGCAGTCAGATGCCTTAGGCACTGTGCTACCAGAGCTCCTTTCTGTCAAGATTACATGTAACACTTTAGATGAAGTAATTTATCATTAAATACTTCCATATTTTTAGCAGTAAGCTTTGAAAAAGCTTATTTCTTTAAGTATTGCTTTTGATTTTGTGCTTTTTAGGTTTCTTTTTCCTCCAAAAATAGTATTAGAAAAGACATATTTGTATTTATGTACCAGAAGGCTCATGTTTATACCAATCTGTTGGGAGTACTTACTACCCCAAGTAATTTTATTTTATATTCTATATATAATATCAAATGGCAGTAAGGAAAAACGGAGTTTAGAATCAGATTTCAAACGAAAACTGCAATATATTTGTTCAGAAGTAGAAGCTGTGGATATTGTAACATTGAGTACATATGTATGTGCATTTAAAGGGAAGTCAGCATATGTGTGCACATATATATGTTGTCACACAAGTCTGTTATCTTCATCTGTCTGTTCATATGAGAGGAAGCCATTGAAGAGGTTCTCAACTGCACAATTACTTCTTAAAGGACCTTCCCGAGTAAAGTAATAGAACTTGTATCAGTTTTACCATCAGTTTGAAGCTGTGCTGAAACTGTCTTCCTTTACATTTTACTAATGTTTGATAAGATAAACAAGTTGGTAGCTGGTATGGCAGCTTTTCTGTTTTAAGAAATCGAACAGCTGATTACGTTTGGAGAGGTAAGCTTTCAGTGTTTGGTGCTCCTTATAACTTTCCTGATTCATGTTTGTCATTAAATCTTGAGCTTTTCATTTTGAAAGTGGTATTTTTTCCTCCTAATTGTCGGTTGCTGAGTTTTCTGTATTTGCACAAATGTAAAAACTAGAGCAGAGTGTAATTTCAGTGTTCTCTGTGAGTTGCAGAAGTAAGATTCTGCAGTGACACTTGTGCGAGGCAGCCTGAAGGATGCAGAGATTTGTAAAGCATAGGAGTCTGATGTCTTGATTTCTGCTCTGTTATTATTTTTATTTTTGGTGCCCACAGAGTTATTAAAGGACAAATGCAAATGGCTTTTTCATCATGAAAGATTATTAAACATGGCTTGAAAAATATAATATTCTCTATGTGTAGTATATAAAATAAAGTTATACACGTTGAATTTCTTCTGTCAGTTTTACCAGTAGCAAAGACTTGTACTGTATAGAAAACATCTGGTTTAATCCTACTACTTAGTTTACCCAGCTTGGGTAGTTATCATTTCAGTTGTATTCATTTGTATTGAATTTCCTCATCCTCTTTTTCTAGTTTCCTTTAAGAATTACTGATAAAATTGGACAGAATTAACATAGCCTTTCCAGGGATAAAACAATTTTCTCTCTTTCTTTTTTTATTAAGTGAAATTATAGAGCAATCTCAAATGTTGGAAGCCACCAGAGGCACTTTCTCAACACGTTTGGTGGCATGGAAACTAAAAGTTGAAAATTTACTCCTTGCCACCAAGCTTTACCAAGTTTTGTATGTATCATATCATATAATATGATTATATACTATGATACAGTATATTATAAGCCTATGATAAATGAATTTGTAATTGAAAGTGTTAATAAGAAATAAAAAATTATTCAATGGAATGTGGAATATTTGGGATTTCATTGCAAGATGACTTTACAACAAAGATTTTAGATCCCGTGAAATACGCAATTAAGGCAGCTCTACTTGCGTGAGTATAATATTACAAAATAATTGACACTTTGTAAGGAACAAGAACAGGTCTTTGTAATGAAACAATTAAAATTCCACAGAAGAATCATGTGTGCAAGATGTGCTTCTTGGGGCCTATGGAGCTGGGTTTTCTTTGGTTACTGTTCATGGACTTCTTTCAGTTCTACTGTTTGTCTCACACGTGCCTGATTGACATTATGATGCATTCGTGTGGAAATTATGAAAAAGTTGTTTTCATGCAGCTGTCCTATAGTCACAAAAGAACTTCACTGCATGAAAATCAAACATAGCATTCAGCAGACAATGCTTAATCTGTTCAGGAGCCCAAACCTATTGTTGTTCAATGACGGAAGAAAGGAGAGGGATTAATTTGAAGATGCTTGTGCATGACATATGGTAATTTCTCCATAGGAAGGAAGTGTCAAATGGTGACCTCTAAGTCTTAACATTGACCTCCAGTTGTAGAATGTGTGTGCCATACGGTCCTTTTGCCTTTTCATATGATAATTTTAGCTGAAACATCATCTTGGTAACATAACTTTTTTTTGGTTTGGTGCATTTATTCTATAAGAATTATATTTAAGAAAAGAATTATCAAACTCACAATGATTGTTTTTAGAATATAGAGCATTTGCATCATAAAAATACTTTTTGAATTCCAAATAAAGACACTATGTTAGGATTCTTCTAACAAGAGCCAAGCGTAGTATATATATATTGTTTGCAAGTTGCTGTGTTTTAAATTCACTTTTTATGAAATGAATGTGGAGAATTGAAATCACCACAGCAGATATTTAAACTTAATTTACACGTAATGTTAGAAAATAAATAATTAGAAAAAATGTAATTGACAATATGAAGCCCAACATAGACTGTTTCATTATGTGGTACATTTTTCTTATTGAATTATACTTTTTGCTAATTCTTAATATGTTTGTTGTCATATTTTTCTTAAAGCTTTAGTTGTCTTAGAGTTATGTTTTGCATGAGTTGACATATCATTTGGTGATAATATGAAATAGATTTTTGGCTTTAAGAGAGGTGTGAACTCAATTTTAATTGCTACCCAATAAAATAAACCCTTTCCCTGCTGTAATCCTTAAAGGTCATGCCCTTCTGATTGGAAACATCATTTTTCAGTTCTACATTCACTATATTTTGCCAGTTTTGCTTTTCATTCTTCACTAATACTGAGCTTTGTTTCAGAAACTGCTGTACCTCAATTCTCTCCTCTTTATCTCTTCTCTTTCCTCTGCAAGTCGCTGCACCTGTCGTTTCCGCTCGGTCTGATGCTGGCCACTCGGGCTCTGACCCTGCTTCTGCTCCTGCTTTACATACCTGTTTCTTAGTAAATGAAGGTATTCTCTCTCAACTTCCTACAACTTTCCTTCAGTCTATGCTTTATCCTAATGTGACATGTTCTTTTTATGTAGTTTACACATTCATCTCCTTTGTTGTGTATGAGACCCTGGAGTGCCCCCCTCTTTAACTTTATTTGCTAAAGTCAGTGAGAAGGACCAGTTGTAATATATAATGTTACTCCTGGCTTGTATGCACCACTTTTCATCTAATTCATTATGCTCTTGAAGAAGTGCAAAGATACCAATTGTTGTGAAGCAGTTATTCTGAGGTAGATGAGTTGTCGTGGTGTCTTCCCTATGATTTCTGATAAATTTATTTCATGTGTGTCATTTCTCTGTGACGTACACACTCTGCTTTACTAACACAACTGTGTGTCCCAGTCAGAGGGGGATTGAGAGGGCTCCTAATTTACATTCTGATTTTAAAGGCCTTTGAATTGATGATTGGCACCAGTGATTGTACACTGATAGGATCTCGCCTATTTATCCTCCTTGCTATTTCTGTTTCCAGCTGAGGCAAAAAGCTGCCATTTCAATCTTTAGAATGTAGTTAGGCTGCTATGTTATCCCTGTGGAATTATGGGAGTGGAAAGCAAGATACCTTTCTAGAGGGCTGAGCATGTGTATGGGGTTTAAAGACATTTATTCCCCACGAGGCAGCTCAGATTATTCATACCACCTGGAAGCTTAATGGACCTTGTGAGGGCCGAGTTGTAGCCAGTCTTCGTTGCGTTCTTGGCCTTCACTACCTCATGTCATATAAAAAGGAGGAAATGTATAAAAGCTCAAGTAATCCAGAATGACTTTGACTCTTCATTGAAAAGTAATATTACAAGTCCATTTGAACGGAAGCGGTGGTACAGAGTCTGTAAAGTACAGAGCAGAGCTTGTCCCTTGGAAAGAACACAGGGAGCTTAAAGGTGGAACCTTGTTTTTTTGTTTGGCTTCCCTATCATAGACCTGAACTAAGGTTTGTATTATGAGACTGGATTTTAGTGAAATTATTGTTGTTGTTGTTATGTGCCGTCGAGTCGGCCCCGACTCATAGCGACCCCTCCTTGGGTTTCCGAGGCAGTATCACTACGGAAGTAGGATTGCCCAACCTTCCTTCCGAGGAGTGGCTGGTGGGTTTGAACCGCCAGCCGTCTGGTTAGCAGGCAAGTGTCTTAGCCACTATGCTACCAGAGCTCCCAGTGAAATTATTAGGATCATATTTGTTAAATGATTGGCAAAGGTAGTCATTTGTTTGTTCAGAATAAGCAGTAAGACTGTGGACCTTGATGAGAATCATTGTTGAAATGATTATTAAATTCAGTTCATATGTCACATCATACTTTTATGAAACATTAAAATACTTTTAAAAATGAAATTAAGAAAGAGGGATAGAGCATATATATAAAGACCCCTAAACCAAACCAAACGCACTGCCGTCGAGTTAGACCTGACTCATGGTGATGCCTCCTTGGGTTTCCGAGGCAGTATCACTATGGAAGTAGATTGCCCAACCTTCCTTCAAGGAGTGGCTGGTGGGTTTGTCTGTCTGTCTGTCTGTCTCCTCTGTTTAAAGAATCCCAGTGCTCATTTTGAGTTTTATGGTAGGGTTTTTGTTATTGTTTTCAGAAGACTGCAGTTTAGATTGTTTCAAAACATTGATTTGTTGAAATTATGAAATTACAGTTAACTCATCTTGTGAAGGTGGTAGACATTTTTGCATTCTTCCTTGATTATTTTTCTTTAAATGTTATATCTGGGAAGTAATGGAAATTATTGTGGCTGAATAGTGGTCTCATGTAATATGGGAAGAATGAGTCATTTATTGTGCTTATATTTTTCAAATACCTTTAAAATGGGGTTGAAAGGGTTACGTGAGGATGTCTCTATATTAGTACTTTTAAAGTGGTTTTCAGTGTTGTATTTTTCTTTCTTTCTTCATATAATCAAGTTCCATATTGTGGACTAGAATTTTAGAAAAAGCAATTTTTATTGCCATAGGTTACAGAAAATGAAGTTTAAAATTTTGTAAGTTTGGATTGTCAAGTTTTTGTTTAGGGGAATTTCTGAATTATTTTTTCTCTCACAATTGGTATTATGTGACTTATTTCAACCATGATTGTGATTAAATATCTGACCCATTTTGTAAGAAAGGAATCACTAAGTACCTCTAACAGAGGAACATGAGATGTCATTTGGCTGGCAGACTGGCAGCACATAGGTGGCCACGTCTCATGTGACATTAACCTCTAGTGTGTTTTCGGAGTAGGTTTACCGGGCAAGTTAGGTTTCTCTTTAACAGTTTCTACACACGTTTGGTGACAATGGTTACATTTATGCCAATGTATCAGCATTCTTTCAAAGTGTGTTCAGTTTGTTCCTTTTCAGTACTTCCTTTTCCCTGTCCCACTGTTTTCTTAACTTTGCTTTTGAGTGTAATGTTGACCATTTGATCTCCTGCTTAGGATTTTTAAGTAGGGCACCGACCTTATCGGTAATAGCCTCTATTTTGTGTGCCAGTTTGCTGTTTCGCTAAAAGGCTGTCTCGGGAGAAGGCTTGGTTCTAGTTTCAAAGAATGTCTCAGGGCGGTGGTGTTGGGAGTCCTCTGTCCTTGAACCCTGTTTCAGTTTGTCTGGCTTTTTTAAAAATAATAATTTGAGCTCTACTCTATATTTCCTCCCATTCTATCCAACACCAGCGACTGTGATCCTAATCAAGATGGGCCATGTAGGTAGCCGAGCACCAGCTGGTTTTGCTGGTCTCAGGGTAGATGAGGCTGTGGCCCATGTACGCTGGTTTCTTTTCTGCACTCTTGGTTACCTTAACTGTTTTTGCTCCTGGTGAGTGGATACTCATAGTTCTGTCTTAGGTGGTCACTCGCATGCTTCTAAGACCCCAGACACTAGTCATTTCTCTAGGCTGCAGATCATGATTTTTGAACTACATTATGGCAGTTGACTGAGTTGTCCCATGAGACTATAGTTCTAAGCTTTCAAATCCAGGAAACTAGTGTTGGAGGTGTCTGGCTATGTCTGAGGAGTATCTGTGTTGGTGGCTTCAGTGAATATCTGTACCTGCACTCACGCATTTGTATTTCCATGTACCTGTGTCCTCACCTACGTGTGCATCTGTACCTACTGATATACCCGTTTGCTTCTACCCATCCGTATGTGCTAAAATGCTCATTTCTACCTTGGTTGTGCTGTGCTCACTACATCCCCATTCTGTGCCTCTGTGCCACATTTCCTGTCACCAAACAGAACTAGTCTCTACTGTATGAAGCATACTTTCTCCACCCCACTCTCAGTGTGTATTTATTTCTATGTTTTC